ACCTTCTTATTACATTTGCATCCGCAGCATGCCGTTGCAATCCAGCAAACGAGGTTTCCAATTATGAATATTAGGACAAAAGAGGTGTAATACACAAGGTTAAAAGGTACTGGTATTGCATTTCCTTTGTCGATATATTCTAACCATATTTGAGCCCTTGAAAACTTCCACTCTTTGTCCTCATCACTCTAAAAACGAAAGTTCAGTTTCTAAGTTAAAATCTATCACATGTGATAACTCACATAAAATCCCCCAAGTTTGGCAAGAGTTTAAGGTTATCCGAGATCGAATTAGGTAGGTATACTCAGTAATGAGAGGAATTTGGTGATTTCTGCGAAGGTTGACTCCATTTACTTGAATCCACATGAGTCATAGTACGGACCAATCATGGTGTGGTGATCGAAGTGGTTTACGTCACTGAGTGAAAACCCAGCTAGCAAACATCATGGACTTATTATTTCAAATCAAAATCTGTCACATACCACAATTTGAGACCTACCATAACTCTGTCGAAGGAGTTATTCATCATAGCAATCAGCATGTTTAAAGCAACAATAGCGGTACAAACGACGTAGATGAGGATACATAAGCGACCAAACAGTTGTGTAAGGGAAAAGGCAGGATCATCAACCCTTATTTTGTCTTCTTCCACGTTGCCAAGTAGTAACCAGAACAAGCCAATGAAAGTGATCCCGTGCCTGAAAAGTAGCGAAGGATGAAAAATCAGATGTCTTTTTCACTTGTCAGCTCATGCCAATATGTAAGCTAGGCGTCTGATGTTGATCTGTCGGTCCGATTACTTGGGCATAAGTCTTTTTCGTCTGTCCACTCAATAAGTCAAAAAAGGCACCTTACATTTCTTTTAGCATCATTTATCTATCAATTACAGATGAATTATTGTATGTTTGCTTATGGGCGCCTACTCTTCTATATAGATATCGCAATAACATCCACCTACTCAGCATATGGATGGAAGTCCTGGAATTGACTCTCGCCCTCTTCACGAAGTTTCACTTGAGAGACCACATAGTATGAATAAATTTTTATGAGGCCAGTTGCAAATGCAATGAAAAGCATCAGAAAAATGAAAAGAAACTTGGCCACATCTTTCAGCATTCTGTACAATGAAAGCTGCAAAGGGCCAAGAGTTGAGCTGACTTGAAATGCGTGAGCCAGGTGAAAGAACGCTAACACTGTGGCGCTGGCATACAAGACATCTGCCACAATGAAGGCATTCTTCCTCGGTTGCCATTCTTTATAAACGCTTAGCCATGTGACAAGCCATACTATATAAGCTGCCAGGAGTGTAAAAAGTGTCATTGTGTCCACAACATTCCACCATTTCGAGATATAGATACGGAATCCTTGTTTAGCAACTTCCCAGATTTCTTGTAGAAGGAAACCGACCAAAAAGAAAAGGACAGCATAATCTGTGGACAAATCAGAACTGCAAATGACTCTGCCAAAATGAATTAGAGATGCTGTTTCATTATTTGTTGAAAAATGTAATACTTGGTTAATGCCTCACGCTAACGAAATGTTGATTAAATTCCTTTAATGTCACACTAATTTACTTTTCAGAACCTTGCAGTTTGAGGTTACTACTGATAAAGACAACATTTTTCACCCAAAGAGTAGTTGAAACTAAGAACCCCCCCCCCCCCCCCCCCCCCTCTACTCCACCCCCTCTCCCGTTAGTTTAACCACCCAATTCAGGATTATGCATCACAAAATAAAGAAATAGTCCTGGGCACTAATTTGAGCTTAAACGGTATCAACAGAATCAGCCGTTGCTCTTAGCTAATACACTCACTACACTCAATGTGGTGAAATGGGTACTGAAGAATCAATCTACACAACTTACCAATGGATGAAAGCCCTGTTGTGCTTG